TCATTACGGTGACTTGTGCCTTTCGGCACACACAGCGCCTTTACCCGTGCAAAAAAAAAGCAACCCCTCAACTCGATCAATGCCCAGGGGGAACCTTAGTTCCCGCTGTTGATGTCCGACATTTCCAATTTTGTACAAAGAGGTACAGATATCATGCTGGGAGAGCTCAATGTTTCACAGGTTTCACACGGGCCTTGCACGCACCTCTCTACTTTTTGCCATTGCACAGCGCCTCACAGACTCAAGTGACATCCGCTTTTGGCACCGTTGAGTGCCGAAGGGTGTTGGGTCTGCCTCCCCACGGGGAGGTGGTGCCCGGTTCACCCTTAGCTGCAGGCTTCTCTCGCTAGGAATTGCCGCCGTATTTGAATTCTGTCTGGCAGCATGTGCCTGGCCTTGTATGCGCCACCGGTTGAACGGGTTGTGCTGCAAGTATGGTCTTTTCCACGGATTGCTGCTCAGATCTTCGCACATTCGGTTGGCCTGACTGCAACCACTGCTGGAGCATTGCGAGACACCTGACCTGCAAAGTGACCTTGTTTTTGGCCGCTGGTCACCAACACTTGGTAAGGAAAGTCCCTTTGAAGCCTCCTAGGCGGCTTTCCATGAACACAGCTTGCGCTGCAGTCCTTTTCTTTTGCGAATTCAGGCCCACTAATTGCCACGTGTGGAGGGAAGACTACAAGATGGTGGAGTTTCGGCCTGCGGGCTTGGGTGTTTGGTTTTGGGTTGGTTTTGGGGCCTTCGTTCCTTTCTCCACCATCTGTCTGTTCTTCCCTTCCTTCAACGATGACCTGGGCACCATGCCCACACGGCGTCCGTACTCGTGGAAAAAAAAAGGATCTCTCTTGAAGAGAAGAGATTTCTTCTGTAGTTGCTTGAACCCCAAAAATAATTTGACTTTTTGCACCTGGTGGCTTTTCTGTGCACTTTTCCCACACGGTATCCCGTGAAATCGTCTTGGGCACTTGCGCTTCCTTTTTGTTTCTTTTTGCAAAACAGTTGTCCGTGCTACTTTTTTTGGGCTCCGCGTTCGCTACCTGTCATGCTCGACAAAGAAGCCTGTTGTTTGGTTTCTCAAGCTGTCATGAGAACCTGGTATCTTAGTTTTTTTCCAGGTCCAAGTTCAAGAAAAGGTCATCCAACTTTACCGAGATGCCAAAAAGTTGGCTTTCGTGTGTCTTTTCCATGAATGTTTTGTCTTTTTTCCACGAGTACGGACGCCTGCCCAGGTCATCGTTGAAGGAAGGGAAGAACAGTCACCATCTGTCTGTTCTTCCCTTCCTTTAACGATGACCTGGGCACCATGCCCACACGGAGTCCGTTCTCGTGGAAAAAAAGAAGGAAGGGAAGAACAGTCAGATGGTGGAGAAAAGAACAAGGACAACCAAAACAAACCAAAAACAAGCAAACCACAGCCCACAGGCCAAGTTTCCACCATCTTGTGGTCTTTCCTCTGTGCTAGGTAAAACAAGTGAAACGAAAACTAATGACCATCAGTGGGCCTGAATTCTCGAAAGAAGAGCATGGCAGCGCAGGTCTGTGCTCTAGCAAAGTCTTTAAAAAGGCTTCAAATGGACTTTGCTTCTTGATTACTAGTGACCAGCGGCCACACCACAGTGTGGCAGAACCATGGTCACGATGCAGGTCAGGAGTATCGCAATGCTCCAACGCCCCGGTTGCATCCATGTCAAAATGGAGCAGCGGTAGCTATGCTGCACGCCGTGGAAAAAACCTTTCTTGTAAGCACAACCCATGCAACTGGTTGCACCTGCAAGTCCAGAGGCATGTTACCAGGCGGTGATCAAACAGTGGCGGCCACAGCAAACGACGAAAGCCTGCAGGTAAGAGTGCGAGAGTCACACCCCCCGAAGGAAGGTCAGCTGGGCACCCTTCGGCTCAAAGGTGCCAAAACGGGGTTTCTCCTGAATCCGTGAAGTGCTGCGTCATTGCAAAAAGTCACACACGGCGCAACGGACCATGCACAAGCAATATGTCTGCAGGAACATTTGGAAGTGAGCCCTCGTGCAATGGACACGAAACCTGCTGCACCTGACATGGACTTTTAAAACGTTCTTGCACAGCGGTAGTGAGGACTGCACTGTTGCACAACCATGTTTCACCACAGCATGCTCTACTTGGCAAGATGGCTTCAAGACTGTTTGTCGTAAAAGAAGCGTGTAAGAGGACAAAGTAAATGCTTTTGGTAACTTTCTTTGTTTGTCCAATTGGTGAAGAAGCAAATTCTTGGTCTTAGACATGCAGTGGACTCGTCCTAGGTGCCTTCGAAGTGCAGTACACACTGCAGTAATGAGGTCAAGGCAGACAGCATTGACAAAACATTCATGGAAAACGACAAAGGTGGGCAACCCGTCCAGTCCAGGCAGCGCCGAGAGGCTGTCGGCAGATGCTCTCCAGACCTGCACAGACCAGCAATGTGTTCGCAGCTGGAATAGTGGATAAGCACACCGCCAGCAAGTTACGGCAAGTGAGATGCGCAAACACTAAGTAGGATCATCGATCTCTTTTCGCCATTTGCAACACAGTGAGCCAATAGGAATGAGAGCCTTAGCTCCTCGTTGCTAACAGGCGGGTGGTAGAGAGTGGCAATGGAGGATGCCCAGGGGGAACCTTAGTTCCCACCAATTGCTACCAGGACCAGCACACGGGTGCAAGCCCAAACTAGCAACTTGCCTCCAACCGAACTGTTTCTTGCTCGGCGCCTTTGCCGCTGTGTGCAACACATTCCCCAGTTTCGGTTCAATCCCATCTGATAGGCAGGAGGAGGAAGGATTTCTTGACTTTCTCTTTTGTTTGTGGCCTGTGCATCTTTGGAGCATTGCGATACTCCTAACCTGCATCGTGACCATGGTTTTGCCGCACTGTGAAAAAAAATGAGGATTGTAGGAGAAGCGGCGTGGAGAAGCTGTCGACAGCTGCAAGTGGTCCATCCACCAGACACGGCAGTCAGCCTGCTGCATGGTGCTTTCAACCGCTGCCGAGCCTTGCGCGCAATGATTGCCTCTGACTGCCAATATTCGAGGAGTGTTGCTCCCTTGCGCAAATACGAGTGACGCAGTGCCCTGACAATGTACTTGCCCTCCAAGCACAGCTGAGGCTGTGTGTTTCAAGGAATGCACGGCCAGGCTCTCCCACGCTGAACGGAAGTCTGCCTGACTGCTGTTTCTTGGAAGCAGGTGTAGTCTCACTCTATCTGCCGTGGACTTCAACAGGATCGGAACGGCCGCGTGTGTGAGCTGCCAGCAGCTGCAAACTGTTGATTTGTCCCAGACGTCATGAAATTTTGGGTTCAACCTTTGCACACTGCTCACTACAGCAACTCAGCCTTTCCCGCTTTTGCAGGTGTGCGCAGCTTTCGAGTAGTTCGAAATCCGCAACCGCTCACAACCGTTCGCAACTGTCCGCAACCTTCCACAAGCGTCAGCGTCTGCAAGCGTTGGCAACCGTTTGCAACCGCAGACCTTTCTGCCAAAGGGCTGCGTCCATCCACAACCCTGCCCACACAAAGGATGAGGTCATAAATCTCTTTTCAAAAAAACGCTTAAGAACACCTGGCAGCCTGTTGATTTTGCGCGCAAATGTGAACTGGGCGTGCAAATGTACACGGGGGAACTGGCTTTCCAAAGATTCCTCCACAGTCAAAGCTATGTCACAGGTCGACTGGGTCGACTTTCTCAGTCTTTGTTCCTGGCTTGGCAAGGAAATGTTGTGGTCACAACATGATCATGATGCATATTTTCACAATTTTGACACATTTTGATTGTGATGTCAATGAGGGGAAAGTCCACAGAAGCGAGCATGCTGCAGCAGTCTCAAAGGAGCCAAGGAACCTTCCTTTGAAATTCTGCGAGCCGGGGTCATTTGCCATCTCTTATTACGTCTCGATTTTTTCACCTCAAGTCTTTGCCACCTTTATTCTCTTTCTCTTTTTTGGCGACGTGAGGTCTGACCTCAAGACGCGTTCTTCGTTTTGAACTTGATTTTGACCCACCCTCGGCCACCCTTTTCATGTTTGATTCTTGCTTAAACTTGCCTCGAACAGTCCCAAGAAGGAGCGATCTGTGCTTGACGTTTTCCAAACGTTTTTGTGGTATGCTAACGATAATTCTACTTCCACTTTCTGTGCCTCTCTTGTGCTGTGTTTGTTCTTTTCTGGGTTTTTATGTTGTGTTCATTTTTCAACGGACGGTTGTGAGTTAATAACTCCCAGGAAAGACACATTGGTGTCCATCGTTTTTGTCCAAGGGGCCTTTTGAATGTTTTCATGTTTGCGGTTGAGGCAGTTACTTGTGAGTTTAGTTGACAGACGGAAGCGTCACAACCTTCCAAGCAACCTTCAAAGACTAGTGACGTCAACCTCATTTCTCTATGTTGATTAGTATGGCCACTGTCGCCTTTCCTCATGTGAAGATTTTCAACTGGAACTTCGAACCGATCACTTGTACAGCCTCTCACTCCGACACCTGCCGCTTTTGTGTTTGTAGAATTCAATAGTCCAAAAGCAGCTGAGAGAGGGCATTTGTTTCTGCACTTTTGTGCAATACACGCACCAAAGAACAGGGCCATCAATCAGGTGTGCCGGGAACGGACAAACAGTAGGATGATGGTGACGTCCTTGCTCCTAGTAGCGATGCGTTCCTAGTAGTACGGCCAGGAGCCCCTAGTAGCGTCCAATTGCCTCTTAATGTAATGAACAAAATGACCTTTTGGTTGGGTGATTTCCGTTGTGTTGGAACCCCGCTCTGCAGTTGCAAGTGCAAGTACACCATATTTTGTGGTGCGGTGTTTTTCACTTTTTGTGAGTTCTCAAAAGAACGAACTTGTGTTTCTTTTTTAGTGTGATTCTTATCCAACATTTTGTTTGTTGGAAGTGGACATTAATTGAGGTCTGAGTGGTAGGTCAATCATACTGGTGAGATCAGACCTGCTGAAGGAAACATGGTTCAACCACATGCATCATTTCTTACACATATCCATGCAGCCACATCGGTTTAGTCAATGATCGTGCAAAAGCCTCAATAGGATGGTGTCATTTGCACAACCGCTCTTTTGGCAGCCTTGATCCCAGTTTGGACACTGCCGATACGCCTTGGCGTTGAAACATGTTGTGCGCCTGGGATGTTTTGTGACAACCTTGCCAGAAAATAGTTGGCTATATAAGGATCAGATACATTGTGAATGCACTGACCAAGAAGCTGCAGCCTCAGCATCAACTTTCAACTGTCACTCCTCCGACTTTTCTGTTCCGACCAGGAATCTGAAGCCAAGCCTGAATGAGCTTCACAACCTCATAGCCGCTTTTGGCTACGATGCCCAGGCGTTCTGTTGTTTGGTATGTTGAACCGGATTTGAGACAATTAAGCACAGGATACTGTATCAAGAAAGTCAGTGGCCCTGATGTCAACAACCCTGCAATAGACAGACATTTTTCATTTTTAATCCGTTGTTCGTAAACTCATTGGATCTTTGAGAGACAAAACCTAAGACCTCTTCAGTCTTCCAATCTTCTATTTGTTTCTCTTCCAATGTGGAGGTTTTCTTTCTCCGGGTGCTGCTCGAGGAAGCGGCATCAACAAACTGGCAGTATTCAGGCTGGATACGCGTTGAATACAGTTGGAGCAGAGAAGAGATGAACAGCCATGGGTCATTGGTGAATGGTGCAAACGTGAGTGGACTGCTGCAGGAAAAGGCGCATTTCAACTTCAAGTTCTCTCCGCAGAGCTGAAGGAGATAGAGCATGAGGAGACACATACAAACGGCAACCCCGACGCAAAAAAAGGTTACGGAACTGAACAGTGTTGTTTGTTTCTCTGCCTGGAGATCGGCCAACCAAACCGTATGGTTCCAAGATAAACGCGCACTGCATTGCTTTCCATGTCCATATTTTTCAAGATCTTTGCAATGGTCTCCTGCAGTTCCAAAACAACATAGTCATTTGTGTTGGCGAGCAAGTGTGAACGTGCAGGTGTGACGAAACTGCTGTGTTCGAGTGGATGTTTATTTTTTCTGGTCACCTGTCACTGGCAAGTGCACTATTCTCACAGGTGCCATGAGCCATAAGTATAGTTGTTCGTTTTATGAGGAAAAAGGACACTTTTTGGGCTCTACTTTGCTTTAAGGATCGATCGAACTGCCACGTTATCGTGATCACAGGGTGAATTCAACGGCGAACCGGGAACATCAGGGAGGGCCGAACCGGCGAGGGAGGAGGCCTGGCCTCATTTCCATGCTTTTGGTGGGGTTGTGAGGGCCATGCTGAGGGGTCAGGTTCCCTTCTGGAGCTTTGCAAGCTCTTTCAGTGAATCTATGCTAATCTTCCGGACTTAGTTGGAGAGCAGCAGCACCGTGTTGTTTTGGGTGAGGAATTAGTTGTGCAGTTTATCAGTTCTGGTTGCAAATTCATACCAAGCTTGCTCGGTGAAGGTGACCTTGTTTGCGCGTTATTTGACCAATTCTTTGCCGCCACACCACAAAGACAAACATGGAGGCATACACATGCAGACATACCAATGTCTGGGGACCGAGATGTTCATACCTTAAAGGCCATGAAAGCCCTGCGCTGCTAGTAGTACATTTTGCTCTTTGAGCCACGTGAGGAGCAGTTTGGTCAGTTGTCCATCTCTCAGCATGAAGCTTGCCAGTCCAGGAATGTCCAGAGAGGTGTGTTGGCTGTAAGGGTGTTTCACTCTTCTCCGGCCTTATGCTCTTTCCCTCCTGAGCTGGATCTTGATTTCCGACTGGGCAACGCAGATTACATCAACATAGATAGGTGGCTCATTAAGTCAATGGTGCATCAGTTTTTGAAGAGCAGGGAGAAGTCTTGTCGGTGTCCAACAAAATTACTGACCAGACGTTTGTCAGACTAGTGCGCACTGGTCTGGCTGGTGCTGACTAGCTGAGGCTTTGTCATGCAATTGAACAGTTCAAAGAGAACATCACAGAGGCAAGGCAAACCGTGGTCTTAAACCGTTCTTTGGATTCGAATCAAGTTACTGAGGTTTCCAAGCTGTTTGTCCTTTCTATGTTGATCATGCTTTCTTTGCAGCTCAAGCCAGTGGTTTTGCTGGGCATGAGTGTAACAAGCTTCTTTGCGTTGTGTTTTTTCCTGAAACAATGTTTTGATAACTTGGCGACGCAGCACTTCCTCAACGCGCTGCTGAGGACTTTTTGCTGCAACTGTGCAAGGTGCGCAGTACTGGACTGTATGGCCTCCGCCTGGTAGCTTCTAGTTACTAAGACGCTTCAAAGACATACTAGAAAGATCTAGAAAGCTTCATTGTTACTAGTAGCGATGGCCTCCAACCTAATTTGAACATAAGGACATGCGAGATTCTTAGCACAACAGCAGCGTGCAGATCCAGCTAGAGCCCAGTATGTACGGAGTCAGCTTTTCTCATGCTCAAGATGCTCGATTTGAGTTCTGGCCTCCTTTCAAATGTTTGCCATCGTCAAACCAGCCTTTGATGCTTCAAAGCTCTTCAAAACATAAGCGATTGAGGGGTAACACTCCTGGACGCGCACCAGAGGCGACAAAGATCAGCCTGCAGCCTGCGCTCCCAGACCTCGAAGGGGAGCCCTTTTTGCAATCAAAGAATCTTTGGGTTTGGTTGATTTTGGAGGAGGAGTTTGATTGATTTCGGAGAAGTTTGTCTCAAAGAGACGTTGCAAAGCTTTAGTGCATTATGCCTTTTAAGAGATGGGAAGCAACAAACTACCAACACCACCGCATCGATACATCCTACATCCAGTCCAACCTGCCCTTGAGATTTTACCGATGGCTCTGCCACAGTTTTTTGCATCTTGACCATGTTCCTTGCCGTTTTCTTCTCAGACTTGGCAGGGCACAGATCAACATGGCCGTGGCAATGCTGCATTCTTTGCCACTGAGCCAGGAGGCCGCAAGGGTCAGAGACGCACCACAAGTTCACCTCAGCAAGACATGGACCCTTGGGAGATATGTTATATGTTTCTTATGAAAGTTATATTTAGGTTGAATCAAAGAAGTTCAGCACCACTCAGCAACATCGTTGATGGGTTTTCTACCACTTTTCCTTTTCGATCATTCTTGGGCTTTGCCGCCTAATAACGAAAGCCATTTGTAAGCTAGGCTAAAGGTACTTTCTGCGAACGAAGTGAGCTATGAGGGGATGCCGGGCAGAGTGTACCAATTGTTCCCTAAACCTGAAAACGTGGAGGCCATATTGGGCGACGACGTGATACAGAAAATGTAAGCCCCATAATCGTAGAGGCCTCCTTTAAGGTGGATAGAAACAGTCACCCCACTTTCAAGAATCACAAACAGACCTCAGAAGGGAAGCAAACGCAATGACGTAGCTTTTCAAGTCTTTCTTGTGCAGAGCCTCGACAAAAAATTCAATAGAACCAAAGCACATATATAAAATGACTCACTCATCTTTTTCAGAGACAATGCCTGACAGTTTGTTTCGGGGCGTTCAAAGACAAATGTTTTGGGCATCCTCCAATGGCTTCAGTTTCTGGGTCGACCTATCACATTTCAAAAGCAAGTAACCCACCACAGCCTAATGTGGTACAACCATGCTGGTTTCTACCACGTATGTGATTTTCTGCATCCAATATGTTCAAGGCTTTTGGAATCATTTGGATGGCTCCCATGCCTCACATCTGCTAGAGCAAGTTGAGAGTAGATCACTGCTGTGGCTCCTCTCAGCATGCTTTGTTGGTATTTGACATCTCCTTTTGCCTCGTCTTCCATCTCTTCATATCCTCTCTAGTTCTTGTTCGCATCAACCAGACATGCAAACAGGTTCACGCGGATACCACTAACCACTATCTGTCACTACCCACCCTGTCTTGGTCTACAAAGATTGCAGTGCTTTGGTGCTTCGCTGGATGCCAGGCGAGCCGGCGGGAGTCAGCCAAGTTCTTGAGAAATCGCTTCAGGCGAGAACTGCGAGCGGAAGTCGCTTTGAATCAGCCATTTCATAGTTCTATACGCTTTGCATGAGGTTTGACTCCATACCACATGTCATTTCACAATGAATGTCAAGTGGATAGCCTATCTTTTCGTTCTAAGCATTGGCATTGAAACCGAAGCTTTCCGACGCTGATCCAACCTAGCAGCTCCGTTACTGACGTTTTCCGGTGCTCAGACTTTATGAACTTGCGTTTTGGCTCAGATGGGGGAAGCAGGAGGCTAGGCTTTGGATAAGCTTCCCCAGGTGGAGCTTGTTTGCTTGTTCAGTGATTTTCCCAGGCACTCCTGCAAATTCATCTGGGAAGCTACCTCAAATCTGGATTACAGTTCTTGATCCCAGCTTGCAGAACAAAGTAAATCAAGGTCCCGCATCAACACATCAGATTTTCCTGGCTCCACCTTCACGGTGGCCGATTGTTGACCGTGCGTGCGCCTCAGAGTTCCGCCTCGGCCACGTGGTGTGTTTGAAGGCATCGCTTGGTGTCTCTTCTCGGTTTTTGGGACAGCAAATCCTGTGTGGCCAACGTCCTGCAGCTATTTTGGGTTCAGCTCTGGCCAACGTCCGGCGGTGGACATCTGGTGCCATGTGGACTTTACTGCTTCTGCTGCCTGCACTCCTAATGGCTCAGTGACCTGGCAGAGGGTGACTGAAAAGAAGAGGTTGTCACCGCTTCAAGCGAGTTCGATCAAACCGTCTCTGAAGATCAAACTAGCCACCATACAGGTTAGGCGGCACAAAATGCTTCAATCTTTGGATCAGCGAGGTTCAAGTCCGCGGTGCGTATATGTTGCATTGTTGGTCCCACTTTAAGCCCATCGTCCTCCTGTCACTTGCAAACAACTCTTAAATTCACGGACAAAGTGGAACTGCACTTTAGAGCAGAAGTTTGGCCGCGAAGCAATTGACTCCTCCGCCTGACTTGGACGGGCCTCTTGCTATCTTCTTTGATGGCATGGCCAAAGCCTTTCCAGATTGTTAAAGGGGTAATGATGAAGCTCCAGGCAATTAACTTGGACTAAACTGCAGCGTGGAGGTCAGCTTATACATATACTGTATATCTATATATCGTTGTGTAGGGGTCGCACTGTCATTTGTATTCACAGATGAGGATGCTGGCAAAGCTCCTTTGAAGAGATGCTCTCGCATTATCTAACTGGGTTCAGTACAAGACGACGTACTGTTCCATGGCCTTGATGGCCCAGGCCCTGCGAAGATTGCCAGACCAAGGGCTATCACATGTTGCAGCACAAGCAGCGGGTAGTCAAGAAGGCGGGGATAACAAAGACATAATATGTTGGGAGAAGGAGCAAACCCTTCACAGTTTCATTTGGTTGCGATTATATTGAACTTGTAGTGCGCGGTTGCAAAAACTGCTTTAGTTTGCCAATACCGTTCAGTTTTCACCTTTGCGATTTTCCTGCATCTATTTCCCACCTCTCACAATTCTGACATAGTTAATGCGCATGAAGCTATGCGTTGTTTGCTGCTCCATCATGCGCTAAGCAAATCCATTAACAGCGACACTATATTACATTGCATGCGCTGATCGGACAAGTTAAGTTTCCCTAAAAATCTAGAAAACAAATCATTAGTGCGAGCGCTTCTTCGAGGAAGCTCCCCCTGCCCTCAGGCAGGGTGAGCTTCCTTGAAGAAGCGTGAGCTATCCTGCGTCCAGTTACTGGAAGCTAAATAGGAGCTAGTAGCTTATTATTCCCTCACTTAGGAGGTCGGCCAAAGAAGAACCAAAAAACCGTGATGGTTTGGAAAGTCCATTGGTCATGGCCGGGCACCGGGTATGTGTCCTATTGGTTCGCTGACAGCGAGGTCGATCACCAATCAAGCAAGAAATGCGGCCATGTTGGAGCCTCACATTTATAGAAGTGGAGAGAGTCTCTAAAGCTTGTAAGTTCATTTGATCCAAGGACGTTGACATCTTGGAATCCAAGTCTTGCTTGATTTTTCTGTTTTGCTCCAAGGTTGACTGCCCTGAGGCCTGCTGAGGGCTGGAATGTGATCTCCACAAGTTCCAGTCAATCCAGACAAGTCCAGGAAGTTTTTCGCTTAGCTTGAGCTTCTGCTTAGCTTCGTTTGGCTTCTATAGGGGAGTTTGAGTCGTACCTTTCACGAGATCTCCAGTATGGCAGGGCTGGCATTTTCATTTTGTTTCTTTCTGCAAATCAAAGTCGCCACCCCGCAGCCAGGACGATGATGACGATGATGACGATGATGACGATGACGAATCAAAGGCTGGATTGTGCTCAGGCTGTCTATCAGATACTATCCTTCGTGCAGCCGGTCTGATTGAGCTTTAATCTCTCCGATGCAAAGAAGAAGTAGGCATCGACCCTTGAGTTCTGGTGCAACAGCATCGACCCTTGTCCACATATGAGCTCTGATTTAGAGCTTGTCTCCACAAAGCATCTGATCACTGATTTGCGTCAGGGCATTGTGGCAAAGCATGGCTTTCTGAAGGTGGCGCAGAATAGGGTTGTGGACCAGCCGCTTGCACTCGAAGATTTAGGAATTGTTTGGAATCTCACCTTGCCACACAGTTAGAAACATGCTCAACTACTCACTAGGTCATGGTTTAACTGGTTGCGTGGCAGTTTCGCAGGCGTTGAGTATGCCTTGCAGCAAAACAATATGTGTTGCTTAACTATTGCTTTGATGCGCACTCCTTGCATCGATTTCCACTTCGATTTCCATCTCGGACGGATTTTCGTCACAGTTGGCACAGCCCTCCGAGCTCACGGGAAGAATTAAGATTTTGGTAGAACTTCCTGAACTAGAGCTGCCACACTTTTCCAGCCAGAATTTGGTCAATGGAGATTGGCTCATGGACTTTTCGACAAGCTTTCTTTTGAACAAATGTTGTGAGTGTCTGGCACTCCCTATCTATGAATTGCATTCTGGCCAGTGGAATCCCTACACACACAAACCTTTCATGTGGGGTGAAAACAAGAGTCCTCTCGTAAAAAGGTCAAGAACAAGGCACATTGTGTGTATATGGCAGTCCTCGTGTGTTGGTCCTGGACAAACATCGACAGCCAATTGCACCCTTGCACCGAAGCAAGTTCATCGACGATCACGACGAAGCCTCCTCGCAAATCAGCAAGACCCCCCTTACCCCAGACCACCCCCTGATTCCAAAGCAAGTTAATATACACCAGTACTTTTGTTGCAATCACTATGAATGCCGATACTTTTCAATGCCACCGTCCACTGTTTCCACAGCAGGTTAATTTACGAAGCATCAGCATCAGCATCAGAAACAAATGCAAGAAGCACAGTGAACGTAGTAGTAGACGTTTGTAACATATTGAAACAACGCTATGCAAACCGCCAGCAGCTGCCTGCTGTTCCACAATGTTCCACATGCTCCCCAGAGATGATCCTCATCGTCTGAGGTCTGGAGAGGTAGTGCGACTTCGGGGTATGTCGCTGTTCTGGTCCCAGTGGAAGCCGCAGTACTGGACCAAAGGCAAGTGGAATGTGTGGAGCTTTTGACTTAAAGTTATCTAATTAGTGTGAAAACGCATCTTCAATCTCAGGGACAGACGATGATCAGTGCAAAAAGCATAGAGCAATGCAGTTTTCTTCGAGGCTGTACAAAGCAGTGATGTCCTACTGCATGCTACCAGCCTGATGGTAGGGTGTGTCTTCCATTGTGCTATAAGTTATAAGGGAACAAAAGCAGTTGGTATGCAGGACAGCAAAAGCATTAGTTTGCCAATTCTATTTGCTGTGCAGGCACCACCCGTTGGCTCAAGAAGAAGTGGGGAATCACTCTGCTACGATGTCCAATGGCCATTGAGGTGTGAATGTCTATGGATTCGAGCGTTTTGCATAGTTGCCATTGAGTGAGGAATCTTGGGACCCAAGTGCCAGGCCATTGAAATACAATGTGCTAGGTCTAGGTGATGCATTGACCTGTTTTATGGGACCGTGTGCTGACTGTTGAGGCAGGTGGATATCTGACAAACCCACAAGAAGAGATGAACAAAGTCAAGGCACGGTGCAAAGTTGTTGAAGTTGTTGACCAGAATTCCTGTTACCTGCTGCTGCCGTTTGTCAACTTTTTTTGCAAGTAGGAGAACTAAGCCTTTCAGTGACAGCATACAAGCCATGGAGAGTGTGTGTATAGTCCTTTTTGGTCGCTCTCGCCAGACAGTGGTGGAAGCAGCCATTGAGCAGGGGATTTATGTCATCATTGACTGGCATGACCACAATGCTGAACAGCACGAACAGGCAGCTGATCTGACGAAGGTAGAGTTACTTCGATCGTGGCCCTTCGGAGCGTGGTTCATCGAAAGCACTGTTTTTTGCATCGAGCGTTGCTTGCCACTTTCGTCGGCCGTTCAGACGGTTGTCATGCTGTGCGGGACGGGTCGTGAGGGGTCGTTCTTACTAGAAGATCAGCTCGAAATTCAGGAAGCTGCAGAGTTTTTTGGGCAAGTGGCCAAGAAGTGGTTTGGCTGCAGTTGGGATGTGTGTGACTCCAAGTGGTGTGGGAAAGACGGGCCGCGGCTGGAAAGACGATCATGGCAGGTAGGAAGGTGGTTGTCAGGACGAGGTCCGAATCTTCAATGGACAGTTCCTGGCTTTTTCCGCATTGACTTTTCCTGGGACTGAGATCAAGTTGTGACGGGGGCAATTAGCACGATCAGCCAGTTGCACAGGTTTGGTTCTGTACTGAATGTTTTGAGAGGGCTAGGCGGCTATTCGTTGTGCTGTATGGGTTCAGAGAGGGAGTCCGCTGTGATAGCACCCTGTAGTCGAAAATCGAAGTGATCGGAAGATGTCCTGAAGGTATGGTCATCACCCCAATGTCATTTTCGAGATTTTCAATGAACCGATCTTTCAAGCCTGGAACACGACCATCAAGCCGTACCATGAGAAGATCGTGTCGGAGTCTTGCCTGCAGAAGAGTGGACAACCGCCCGGTGATACCAGTGGAACCCCCTT